AAAAAAAAAAAAAAAAAAAAAGACAAAAAGGAAAAAAAAAATTGCATCTGTACTAAACATATACAAACTTTTTTCTTGTCATAATTCCATAAACAACAAAGTATAACAACTACTCACATAGCATTTACACTGTATTATACTGTGTTATAAGTAATCTAGAAATAATTTGAAGTATACAGGAGGATGCATATAGATTATATGCAAATACTATGCCATTTTGTATCAGAGATACAGATTTTGGTATCTATAGGAAGTTCTGGAATGAATCCCATGGATACCTAGGGGCGACTGTACTTTAAAAGATAAAGGAGAAGAATATGGTAAGGGCTTAGTGAATTGTGCAGTGATTGTGGTATTTAAAGGAAAGAGATCACTTTGAGTTTGGGAGGGGTGGGGTAGAGGAGGGGCCAGTCAAGAGAGCATCCAAAGAAGAGGTCAGTTCTGAACTAGGCTTTGAAGAAAAGGGCAGAAGACATTTCAGAGAGACAGAACATCATGCACAAGAATGTGGAGGCCAGAAATGAAAAAATATGTTTAGAGGAAAGCAAGCAAACAATAGCACTCTAGTAGAAGGTTTATGTAGGGGTATAATGGCAGAAAAGCCTAGAAGGACAGGATGAAAATAGATCATAGAGAGAAGTGAATGTCAGTCTAACCGACCATGGGGGAAATCTCATCTGCCACATTCAGTCTAATATGATTATTAAAATACTTATCCTCTTCTTATTAGATCACAAATTTACTGAAATGACACTGTCATGAAACTACGTAAATTAAAGAAACACCTGTACAAATCATGAAGTTGCTTTTAAAAAGCGTAACTCATAGAGTAACTTATAGATCTCCTACTTAAACTCCATATTCATTTCTTATAGTCTCTTAATAACCAGATCCTCAAATAATGTCTTTTAAGCCTCTATTTGAAAACTTTCAAGAGATGGGGAGCTCACTATCTTGTAGAAACTGGGATACCCTATACTGCCTTATCTAATCAAGCCAATTCCTGGTGTAGGACAAAGATAAGTAGAGTGAAAGGGTTATAAAACATCAATTTTCTACCATTCAATCCTCTAAATCAAAATAAAACAAAATCCATAAATAAATGGATTTTGCCACAAATATAAGCTCTTTCATTGGAGAATAAACTCAGAAAATTATCTTCAGTGTGGTAGAGTAGTCATTTGTTGCTTTTGTCATCCAGTATCTCTTTTTCTTTATTCTGACTTTGGGGTGGGATAGGGTGAACACACCTTCTACCATATCAGCAATGGGTTCTGGCGAAGCCAATAACAGCCCAACTCCAGGGTGGAGTATATGACTGAAAAAGTGTGATTGGTTAGTACTGGATGCATGACTGAAGCTAAGATGATCAGCACTAATTTTGTTAATCCTATTAAGGTCCAGAAAGAACAATAGCCTCCGGCTGACAGAGTTTCTACAATGGGAGGCTGAAATTGCTGCAACCATGTTACTACCACAAAGGGAGAACCTATCTGAAAATGAAGAAAACCCAGAAGAACTGGAACCTAGAAACAAATGGGGGATCTGAGCCCTCCTGGCATTCTTTAAATAGCTACTTGTAACCACACCTAAGCCAGATTTGCTTTTTATTTTCCCCCTTGAACTGTCTGGATGGAGTTTTCTTTCACTTTCATCCCAAAGAGTGCTAACTGACACATACAGTAATAGCCAAATCCTACAACGAGCAAATGAGGTCAACTTTTCAGCACTTATCTATTATTATGCATAATAATATAATTTGGTTATACCAATAACCAATGATAGATGCTAAATTTAAAAAATGAATCTGGCACATTTTAACATAGCATTTCACTTTCAACGTTGCCTTGCACTGTCTTATTTTTAGACAATATTCAGTATTTTATTCTGCAGAAAGCAGAAGAAAATAAATGACTATAACTTTACTATATATTATAACACTGTAAAGGCAAAAATAACCAACTTAGAAATTAATAGTTCTCACTACACCATATCACAGTTATTTTTAAAAAAACAAAGAGACAGGGCCAGCCAGTTAGCTCAGTTGGTTAGAGCATGTTATTATATAACACCAAGGTCAAGAGTTCAGATTGCATACTGGCCAGCTGCCAAAAAATAAATAAACAAATGAACAAACAAATAGAAACAGACAAAAAAACTAATGAACTGCCCAGAAGCAACATAAAGACTCTTACTTGAAGCTGGAGAGTATGCCGAAGAATTGTTTCCTCTAAGGCATGGATCCACTTCTCTCGCTCATCAGCATCACGAGCTGAAATAAAAAATTATAAAAATTAAGTTTAATTTCTACACTATACCTCCATGTTTGAAAGTAAAATTTTAAAACTGTGATGCTAACAGAAAAGGTTTTCATTTGTGCCATTTCCTTAATAGGTTCACCTTGGTCTATCCTTTCCATATATGCAATCTACTTGCAAAAAATTATAAGGGGAATAATTGTGTTCAACAATAGCAGGCTACATAGTTTAGACCAACCTTCTCACTGAGAACAACTAGAAAAACTAGACTGATATATTAAGAAACAACAGGTAGAAGGCATTGGAAACCAACAAGGCAGTAAAGAATCATCAGGCCAAGATCTGGAAGAAGACAAAAATCTAGAAGATAAGCCTGGTATTTAGGGCCACTTTTCTCCCGAAGGCATTATAAATTCCAGGAGAGGAGTTGTAGACTGGACAATACACTTAAAAGCCTTGTCAGTGTGTGCAGGCAGAGAATATATGAAAACTTTACTATCTGCTCAATTTTACTTTGAACCTAAAATTGCTCCAAACAAAAAAAAAGAATGTTCAGGCTAAAAGTTGAAGAGCACAGCCCACCACCAGCAGGGCCTCTGGTAAACTGGCCATGTTTTGGTTGGGACCCCCAAACAGGTTCACCTTGCGATTAAAGATAAACCAGAATTAAAATAATCGCTTGATCATCTGCGTAGCCCAGAAAAATCTTGATGCCTGAAATGGATTAAAAGCAGCACAGATTGTTAATGTCTTCAGGCTTCCAGCTAGCAAAAGCAAATGAAAATCTTTTCTGTAGAACAACATCATCTTAGCTGTTGAATTATATTTCTATAAACAGTTTTTCAAATACAATTTCTAGCACATAAGCAAAGACAACCAAGTACACATAATTGGAGACACTTTTAGAGACAAACCCACACATAAATGAGAACCAAAAGACAATAGAAACAATCAACAGGAGCTCTAGGTTATTTTATAAATTACATATATTTTTTTCCTTTTTTCAAAGTTTTTTTTTGTTTTGTCTGTTTTATTCTAAAACTGAAAAATATAATAATCAAAATTAAGAACTCAATGGATGAATTCTAACAGCAGATTAGATGTACCTAAGGAGACAATTAGAGAGCTGGATGAGAGGTTAGAAGAACTCATCAGAAAGAAATATAGTGAGTCGAAGGGATAGAAAATAAAGGAGAAAATAAAATAGAAAATAACTAACAGAGAAGGTGAGACGGTTTAACATGAATGTGATTGGAATACCAGAAGGAGACAAAAGAAAGAATGAAATGGGAGCATTAACTGGCTGAGAATTTTCTAAAAGTGATGGAAGATATTAATCCACAAATTTCAGAAGTCCTAGGAATCCCAAGCAAAATGAATGAAAGAAATCCAGTTAGACACATCTCAGTACACATTACTACAAACAAAGATACAGGAAATATCTTAAAAACAGCCAGTAAGAGAAAAGGACAGATTATTTTCAAAGAAGCAACAATTAAATTAAGCTAAGGTCTCAAAAGAAATAATGGGAACCAGAAGACAATAGAGTACTATATTTAATGACTGAAAGAAAATAACTGCCAATCTAGAAATCACTGAAAAATATCCTTCAGGAATTAAGATGAAATAAAAGCATTCTCAGACTGACAAAAAAGAGTTTGTCATCAGCACATGCTCATTAAAGAAAATTCTTAAAGGTATTCTCCAGGCATAAGGAATAATAATGTGTGATGGAAGGTGGTAGAAGCAGGAAATAAAGAGCAACAGAAATTATAAGTGTTTGAGTAAAACTAAATTAATATTCTCTGAATAAAGTAATAATAATATCTTGTGGGCTTTAAAATATATATATACAAAATTAGATTGCATATAGATTGTATATACAAAACAACAATTGCATATAGATTAGAAAAGGGAAAATGGAGTTAAAGAGTTCTAAGCTTCTTGGATTGTTTGGGAAGAAGATAAAATTTGCAATTAATGTCAGATTTTCATAATTGAAGGATTAATGTTATAATCTCTAAAATAATTACTTAAAGAAAAGCTTTTAAGAGTTTAACTTCTAAAATAAAAAAAAAAATTCAATAATAAAAATAATCCAAAAATTGACAAGAAAGGGGCCGGCCCGGTGGCGCACTGCTACAGTGCGCCGCTTGGGAGTGCGGTGGCGCTCCCGCCGAGGGTTCGGATCCCACATACAGACCAGCCGCTCACTGGCTGAGCGATGAGCGGGCGCAACACCGAGGGTTGTGATCCCGTTGCCAGTCCTGGTCCGGTACGGGTGCGACACTGAGGGTTGCGATCTGTTGCTGGTCACGAAAAAAGACAAAAAGGAAAAAAAAAATTGACAAGAAAAAAGAAAAAAGGAAACAGACTGTGTAAGACCATAAGAAAGCATAGATTAAGATAGCAAAAATTTAAGCTTAAAAACATCAATAATTAAATTAAATGTAAATAAAGTAAATGCTCTAATATTTTTAAAAGGGGTTTTAAAACAAGATTTTCATATTGCCTCAGAAGAAGGAGCAGGAATTTTTTTAAAAGTATATGATGCTTACAAGAGAAACTTATTAAATATAAGGATGCAGAAATATTGAAAGTAAAGTATAAAAAAAGATATGCCATGGAGCCAGTGACCAGACTCCCCTCCCACAACCATGCACACTGCCAGCACCTCAAGGCCCACCCGGCTATCTGAGGCACAGAGCTGGGGACCAGACTGCCCCCCCCACAACCAGGCACACCGCCAGCCATAAGGAGCATGCCAAAAACATCACCTCCATGTTGATGGCCCACCACAGCCACCACAGTAACCATGGCTGCCGTAAAAGTGGCCAGATGTCACAACCACCATGCAGATGGTACCTCAGGCACTGCAATGCACTGACACAAGGAGAGTTACCAGCAGAGACCAAAGAAAAGAAGAGGATGTCTCTCTCCACAAAGCCCATTCCAGAGTGCCAGAAGAAGCACCTACTCTATGATAATTTGGGGGACCTGAACACACCTCTCAGCATTGGACAGATAATCTAGGCAACAAACGAACAGAGTAACCATTACTCTTTCAGAGGGAGAAAAGAAATATAGGGTTATCAGTGGTGGGAAGGGGTAGGGAGAGGAGAATAGGGAGAGACTGGACAAGGGGCATAAAGAATAAGTACAATTTGTAACGATGTATATATACTAGTAATATTGATTTGATCAACACTGAACCCCCAAAATATGTATAATCAATTATGATTCAATAAAAATTAAAAAACATTTAAAAAAAGATATGCCATAGAAACCAACTCAAAAAAGTGATATTGTTATTAAAATCACACAAAATATACTTTAACACAAAAGTAGATCAAGAGGCTCACTTTGTAAATACTAGAGGTTAAATTCATCAGGAAGATATAATAAATGATGTAAATTTCTATGTAAACAATAATATGGACTCAAAATACATATATAAGGCAAAAACTTACAGAACTATAAGGAAAAACAGACAAAAATCACAATTACAGCGTGATATTTTAACCTATTTCTCTCATTAACCAATAAGGCAAACAAACAAAACATAAATTAAAATACAGAAGATTTGAACAATCCCTGATGAATAAATTTGATCCAATGGGCATACACAAAACACTGTGCAAAACAAATGTAAAGAGGACATTCTTTTCAAGCATACACAGAACATTTAAAATATTTACCATATAATGGACCTAAAACAAGTCTCAACAAATTTCAAAGGATTGAAATAATACCAGCCATAGTGAAAATTTAAGCTAGAAATCAGTAACAAAAAGTACAAATTAGAAAATACTGAGATGGGGCCGGCCCGGTGGCACACTGGATAGTGCGCCGCTTGGGAAGTGCGGCGGCGCTCCCGCCCGAGGGTTCGGATCCCACATACAGACTGGTTCCCGCTCACTGGCTGATCGAGGCGCGGGAGCGACACCGAGGGTTGCGATCCCGTTGCCGGTCCCCGGTCCGGTACGGGGGCAACACTGAGGGTTGCGATCCATTGCCGGACACGGAAAAAAGACAAAAAGACAAAAAAAAAAAAAAAAAAAAAAAAAGAAAATACTGAGATGAACGGGCTGGCCTGTGGCTCACTGGGTAGACTGCGGTGCTGATAACACCAAGGCCACGGGTTCGGATCCTATATAGGGATGGCTGGTTTGCTCACTGGCTGAGCGTGGTGCTGACAACACCAAGCCAAGGGTTCAAACAACCTTACCGGTCATCTTTAAAAAAAAGAAAATACTGAGATGTTTCGAAATTTTTAAAAAATATACTTTTTCTAAATAATCCATAGGTCAAGGAGAAATATCTCACTAGAAATTAGAAAACATGTGAAACTGAATAAATGAAAATAGGACATATTGAAACTTCTTGTTGGGCAGGCCAGCTAGCTCAGTTGGTTAGAGCACGGTGTTTAACACCAGGGTCAAGGGTTCAGATCTCATACCAGCCAGCTGCCAAAAAAGAAAGGAAACTTGTTGGATGCAGTTAAAGCAGTGCATAAAGAGAAATTTGTAGCCTTAAATGCATACAGAAAAGCAAAAAGGCTGAATACAAGAGATTAAATTCAAAATGAGCAGAAAAGGAAATGATAAAGGAACATAAATCAATGAAACAGAGGGCAAACATGCAATAGATAGGTCAATAAAGCCTAAGTTGGCTACACAATATAACTAATGAATCTGATCAACTTCTAGAAAAACTGATAGGAGGAGATGAAGACAACAACAAACATGATGTTACAGATTAATGTCATGAATGAGAAGAGGATATCACAACAGATGCACACAATTCAGAAGTTCATAGAAGATGCTATGAATAACTCCATGACAATAAAATTAAAAATTTCAATTAAATAAAAATTTTTCTTAAAAAAATATAATTTAGGGCCGGCCCGTGGCTCACTCAGGAAAGTGTAGTGCTAATAACACCAAGGCCACGGGTTCGGATCCCTATAGAGGGACAGCCAATTAGAGGGTGAGCATGGTGTTGACAACACCAA